TCATCAATTCCAATGAAAAATAGTATAGGCTATAACCATGGAAACAAAAACAACTCTACTCAAGACATCAAGAACCTCTAGCTAAGAACTTGAGGTCAATATAAAACTTCAATGTCTGTGAATGTTAATTCACAAGTCTGAAAGAATTTGATATTTGACCTTAATTCCCCCAGACTCTCAACTTGAAAAGAGGTGAATCTTTGAACATCTATTTTTTTCCCCAAGAAATTTATAATGTGAGAATATTTGTTCTTCAAACTTAGGGCATTTTTTTACATTTTGTCTTAAGGAATATTCTCATGTAGTTTCATTTTATTTTATAATTTATTTTCATTTTATAATTTCTAAGCTATGTTGGACAATATGGGGATCATAGTTTTGTTTTTGTTTTGTTTTTTTATGGGAACTAGAGTATCAAGTTTCTACCTTGTGTACAAAGGTGTTTTGGAGTCCACTTAAATAATGTGCAGTTTTGACCCATTCACAGCTTGTGAGGAGCAAAACCTATATTGCCACCAATAGCTCAAAGAGGATCCAAAAGAAGCAATGAGTTACACCGAGGGAGTCAACTCAGGAAAGCATAACAGGAATGCTCTTGACACAGTGCTAATCACTTCCTCACCCCACAGAGCAGACATAACCTAATAGGTTCAGTTCAGGGTGTTTCTAGGGAACTTTTGGGGGGGAAATCTTCATTATAAGGGACTGGTCAGTGCATTGCAGGATATTTAGCATCCTTGACCCATCCCTCCACCCCCAAACACCATCAGTATTCCCATAATCATTGTTACAACAAAAACTTCCCTAGGGAAGATAATGCTGGTTTAGAACCACTGGGTTAAAAGAACAAGAATCTCAAAAAGTTAATTTCTTTCTGGCTCCTGATGTTTCCTTCCAATGTGAAGGGAGTCCCATTAAAGTCACATTCTTGGGCTCTTGCCAAAACTTTACTCCCTCCTCCCCAAGAGAGGCACACAGACTTACTGATTGCAAATTTAAGAAAAATGTAATGGCACATTCAACTTGTTTCCCTTTCCCTTTCTCTTTGAAACAATCTGACTACAGCAAGCAAACATTCAGTGCTACTCCCCAGGCTGAAGGTTGTATAGTGCAGCTCTGACCCTTCAGGGCACTGCCTGCCTAGTCCTGTGCTGTTTGAGACTATGTGGAGAAGGCTGCCTAGCCCTGAAGTCTGTTTTGAGGAAGCTCATTGTTCCTAGAGCTAAACCACAACCACCAAAAATCAGCCTTATAAAAAATGAAGGTGATGTTTTCAACTCTTATCCTTCCTATATCATTTCTCAGTTCATTCAAAGCATTAAAAGAAATGAGGGACATTTTTTTACATGCCCTCCTCAAACCCAAATAGCTACCATACTTCTGTCCATCTACTTACTTAAATTTTCTACTAATTTAGATTTCTTTACCCATCACACAGATCCTTCTTCAACAAAACTTTTCACCATCTAAATAAAGCCCACATTTTTGAAAAATCTAGTCTTCTCACCCTCTCCCAGTTATATGCAGTCTATGCTAGCTAAGAAAATGTAGACACTTAGAGTTTGATATTAAAAGTTTAGGGAAGGACAATAACAAGAGCCATCTAGGAAAATCTTAATTCACAACCATTTTATTCTAAATATCTATTTGTTTTTTCCTGTCCCTAAAATTCCTGAATAAGGTTGACCTTCTAAAGAATCTTCAATAAAATCATTCTATCACTAAGATTGATCTTAGAAACCATACAGATTAAAAACTCACTGTTAAAAGTTTATTATCTCTCATTCTTTTATTAAAAGATCTTTCACTGTCAAAAATATTTTCTACAAAGATATCCCAGTTCAAGTCTTATGAACTACTCAATTGTTCAACTATTTGGGGTTTTGAAGGAAAATAACAGACAGCATTTTTTCAGCTACTCTTTCCTCTTAATCGCTAACCATGTATATACTTTAAGAGAAATTTAATCCAGCTTATTCTGGTTGTTTCCATTTAAATCATTAAAATGTTATTTTTTAAAAGTCATTTGTTGTCCAAAAAGACTTTTTAAATTAGTTTCTTTGCTTAAAAATCCAAATTGGCCATAAGAACATGAGCTCTGATGCCAAAAAGATCAGGTTTGGAACAAAAGTGTGAGCCCCAAGTTGGAAATCAGTTTTAAAGGCAGGCTATGACATAAAGGGACCATGTGAATGCCTCCCCCAACTCAGTGAGATTTCTGTGGAAGCATTCATTACAGCTGAGGTTACCAAAAGGTCTTCAAAATAAATCCTATGATCTGTAATCAGTCAGAGCTTCTGAAAATTCTAATTTATGGCCTTAATTGTCTCACATTTGTGCTAATCTCATGTGACTTCTGCTTTACATTATTCAAGGAGGAAATGCTTTTGACTAACATTTAACTCAAAAAATAATGAAACGCATTAACTCCATTATTTTAAAGTTTAGTTCTTTTCATCTGCCTTAAGAATTAAGGAAATCCCTTCAATTAGAGGAGAAAGTAACGTCATTATCAGAGTTCATTTTCCCTCTTGCTATCCACTAAAAAAAGTCTTTATGCTCCCCAAAAGTACCATTACAAGTAGTGGTAGATTTCTGTACACTTCTGTCACTGTATCATAAACACAGAGAAAGCAAATACTTCCAAATATACAACAAGGTACCAAACTGCCATGTAACCATAAGGGAGTTAAAAAAAAAAAAAACTGGAAAAAGTTGTCTGCTTTGCTTATTGGTTAGAAGAAAAATTAAAGTTTAACTTCCTTTCTGCACAAGTTTCTTAGTCTTCTTAATAAGAAGAATGGGCTTTAACTACTTACATATCTATTACTGATTGCATGTGTTAGAAAGATACATCATTCACACTTGCCTACCTTCTTCAAAACAATCTATCTGAAAATGTATTTCTATGAACTATAAAGATTAAAGAAATAAAAGCAACAGTTTTCAAAGATATTAAGGATATTTTCATGTTCATGTCTTAACACACAGGCAAACTAGAAGAGATGGCTCAAAGAAATAATACACGGAGAAGGAAGTTCACAAGTTGAGACTAAAGATACAGCTTATCTAAGGGACATATTACCAGTTTCCAAAATGCTGGGTTTTGGTGAAATAAATAAAAGACATTCAAGAATAAATCTAATCTTCCACCTTGATTAGTTCCAACTTCACAATTTAAATTACGATGTCGGGGCACCTGGGTGGCTCAGTCAGTTAAGTGGTCGACCAACTACAGCTCATGATCTCGCGGCTCCTGAGTTCAAGCCTCACATAGAGCTCGCTGCTGTTAGCGCGGATCCTGCTTCGGATCATCTCTCTCTCTCTCTCTCTCTCTCTCTCTCTCTCTCTCTCTCTCTCTCCCTCCCTCCCCCCCCCACCCCGCTCACACTCTCTCTCTCTCAAAAATAAACATTGAAAAAATTTTTAAATAAAAAAATAATAAAATAAAACAAAAATGATGTCAAAATGTCCTTGAGTATGCTTAAATGACTTTTATGCACACCTATCTATTTCCTGAGGTACCAAAAATCATCAAACAATTCTGTAGCACTTTGTAGTACCTTATAAGTCCGCTAAATCTATGAATTCAACTGCCAACCTATAAACCATTACCTATCAAATGATAATTTATATACCTATTTTTCACTGGAGGTAAATTTATAATGATATCTTAATGAATTATGATCAGTGGTGGCACCAAATATGAAAGATGAATAAATTTGCCCAATTAAGAACTTCAGAGTAGCTTTACTTTGAAATTTTCGTAATTCACTATTTGATAGTTTTAAAGCAGTACAAAGTTAACCTTATTTACTGCTATAATTTAAATTGATCTTTTGTTGCTTCCCTTTAATTCTCCAAGACTCTAGAATACTAAATATAAATGACACAAGTTATGGGAAGACAATTATTGATGAATAATAATAAAAAGTAATAATTTTCATGGTTTCTCAAGTATTCATTAAGAATGCAGAGGTCAATATTGACATTTGTAGAAAGGTAATACATTGTTCAATAAAGAAACAGTAAGTTTTTTCTTCTTTTACATGAGCCCCTTTTAAAGACAGGCAGACTACATTAATGAGCTTGATTTGTAAATATGCTATAAAACAAATAATTTGACACCACTAAACAAGTGTATTTGTATATTCTAAAAAAGTAAGCCATGTAAAAAAGACTTAAACTACTTTAGACATCACTCATGCAATGGATAATAAATTTTTAAGGTTTATATTTTAATATGATGACCTATAATTTGAAAGGTATCATTTTAATCTAAGAAGTTCTGGAATGTTTTAAACATTGGAATTTTAGAGAGGGTGAAAATATTTGTACATTCATAACACATCCTCACAGACTGAGTAAAAGGAAACAAAACCACTGGTAAAAGTCAGATACATCATAGGAAATATCATGTCTCAGCTATTCAATTTACTATAAAGCATGAATAGTATTACTTACTTAACTCACTTAATGTTTTCCTGAAAGTAAATTCTATTATTTTTAGGAGTCTTCTGTTCCTCTTAAACTTCATCCCTTTGCCTCATGAAAGGACCCAGAAATAATGATTATTTTCCCACTTGCATTTTTGTTCTTTTCTTACCAACACTTGTTTTCTCACAACCAAAATGCACAGAAATCTTACATTGTACTTGCAGGGTATTCAATAAATCCCACTCAACATTTGGCAGAGCTCACCCCAACCTATCTTTAATAAGGCAGTAATCCCTTACCTCAGAGGTGCTGTATCATTCTGACAATCATGGCACTGGTGTAATTTCCTTTGCCAACATGACAAAACAGAGAACATTCTATAATGCCTCATGAGCACCAGCCCAGAGAGACCATGAGCTCAGCTCTCTCATGGCAAAACACCATTGTAAGAAAATAAAAGGCTCCATGTAGTAATTTTTACGTTTTACAGATTCTCTAAATTTTAATACTAACAATCTCATTTGGAAGAAAATAAAAATTAATCCAAAAGAATAATTAATTACCTTTTCCTATTAGGCTCCTCATTTCACAACAGGCAACTCAAGAAAATCTCCTCAATAGGTTCTCCAAATCAGGATAAAAGTGACATCCACTGACAGGTCCAAGCAAAATTCGTATTTCCAAGAAGCCAAGTAAGAGAATTATAAAGAGAAGTCACTTTTTTTGCTGGATGCAACTACGACACGAAAGGCTGGTTAAAGCAACACTAAACTTGGCTCAATCATGCAATGGTCTCAGTTTGGGATAGAATTGAATTTATAACGTATGACAGAAGCAAAGTTGTAATGTACAATTATATAATTTACTTGAACAGTTGCTTTCCATATGGGAAGTAACAGATTGCCCAGTTGCATTTTGGCTAAGACTAAACCTACCATTATTCAGGGTAAAACAATTTTGTTGAAATCTGGAAATCCTGCAGATAGCATCTCTAAATCTCTCTGACGATTCTTGACAATGTTTCTTTTCATAGGAATAGTATACAGCTGTATCCTCCTTCCTAAATGCTCCTGACCCACATTTAGCACACAGTATTTTCTGGAAAACATAACCAAAACTATGCCCAACAGATTTTACAGATGAGATAACTACTAAAGCCATTCATCCAAATTTCTATGGTGAAGCCAAAAATAAATAAATACATTAAGAGATGAATAAAGGATAGAAAACAACAAATCTTTCTGTGCACTTTCTTTTCTAAACATTTAGTATTATAAAGAAAACATACTTTGAAAGAAAAAAGTCTTTTCCTCTCTCATTTTATATCTCCGTTGAATACCAGAGTAGAACTCCGACATAATAATATTCCCCCCGGTTAACTTATACTCCAAGAAAAGTATTTTATGGGCTGTGGAACATTCTTATTCATGACCTTAACATTTTTAAACAGGTTGATGGATAAGCAATGCATTTTCTACAGTGGTGCATAAATGATCTGGATCCCAGAATATATCTTCAAAGTTTGAAGACTTCCATTGTCCAGTGAAAATATGTCATTATCACCCTTTGAAAGGGTCTTGAAATTGCAACTATCTATGGCCAAATACTATTTTCTGAAATCTGTCCCCCTGTGCATGGATTTATGAGTCCCACGATTGGACAAAGGGAAATTATCCAAGGCAAAGTTGTCCAAATAGGCAATTATCCAACACAGTGGAGCCAAGACAATCCCCTGGAGGTCATTGTACAGGTTCAACTGCAGCTGTGTGGGAAGTATGAACACCAATCAGCTCTCTGAAGAGTTTGGGTGTCTCCAGGAAGAACAAACTGGGAAGACTGTTTGTGTCCTAGGCTATTGGTTTATATTTTTTAAAAAAGCAGAGAGGAGGCTTAAAGCATTTGCTTACCCACAGTATTTCTACCTCTAGATACTTACGTTACACCATAGTATTCCTAGCTCTAAACAATTATATTACATTATGTTATATAATGTTACAATTATACCACTAAACTTTTTTACAACTCTGGAGTATTCAAACAGCAAACCAAATAGTAGAAATCTAAGACTGGAAAACACAATGCAACTATATCAGACACTTTCATGCAGTGCCTGCAAAGAATAATAGTCTTTCATGTGCAAAGTAGCTGCACATATTCAATCTCATTTGATCCTCTGGATAACCCAAGAGGTTCACAGGGAAGTGCTTATTATCCTTTTACAGATGAGGAATTTAGAGCTCAGAAAGTTTGGGATATATTCAAAGGCACCTACCTAGTAAGTAAAAAGTAAGGATTCAAAACAGATGTTATTTGATACCAGAGCTCTCTCCACACATGACTATTGGGCAAGCTCTGTATTTGAGAAAATAGAGCTGCTGTCCTATCATCTCTACCACCACTACTTCTACACTACTGATAAGTAAGCAATATACTCTCCTAATAGTAGTCTTATTTTTTGATGAAAGCATTCCTGGGTCTTTTTAACATTTTAAGTCAATACTACTTAATATGAATTACCTATTTTTTTTTCAACATTTATTTATTTTTGGGACAGAGAGAGACAGAGCATGAACGGGCGAGGGGCAGAGAGAGAGGGAGACACAGAATCGGAAACAGGCTCCAGGCTCTGAGCCATTAGCCCAGAGCCCAACGCGGGGCTCGAACTCACGGACCGCGAGATCGTGACCTGGCTGAAGTCGGACACTTAACCGACTGCGCCACCCAGGCGCCCCTATGAATTACCTATTTTTATCAGATCTCTTTTTTATTACTCAGATTAAGACACAGAATTAGCTATCTCTGCAAAATAAAGCAAAGAAACTGGGAAATGAAAAACAGAAAAGCCAAGGATGCTAAACATTGAAAATATTCCCTAAGGTTGACCCATTTTAAAACTATACAATGATGGGGGGAGGGGGTGTGGCTCAGTCAGTTAAGCATCCAACTCTTGATTTCAGCTCAGGTCACAATCTCACAGTTCATGAGATCAGGACCCACATCAGGCTCTGTACTGACAGCACAGAGCCTGCTTGGGATTCTCTTTCTCCCTCTGCTGCCCCTCCCCTACTCACTCTCTCTCTCTCTAAATATAAATAAACATTTAAAAAAATAAAATTGTACAATGGGAAGTACCTAACTACATTCCACTTTCCAGATGTCTTTGAAATCCAAGCATGATTTAAAAGAAATTTTTTACAGAATAAAGAGAAATCAGTTATTTATGCTTATGTTGCCATACATTTTAAGTCCATCGCTTGACCAAAGTAAATGCATTATGTTCAATTAACACCTGTTTATCGAATTCCACTTGGTATCAGATACTGGGATAAATCCTAGGATTAAAAGTACAAATAAGACAATATCCCTGCATTTAAGAAACTTGCAGTGAAGCAAGGTAGACAACACCTGCCACTACATCCTTTGTAGAAACTCAATTTGTTGAATGACAAAAAACTAAATCTGACACTGCCAATTATCTCTCCTTGAAACTATCTCTTCCATTTGCTTACATGACACCAAGTTGGGTGCTTTCCCATAAGCTGTCAGGTTTCCCTCAGATACCTTTGTGGGTTCCTTGTTATTCTGCTCACCTCATAAATGCCAATGTTCCTAAATAATCGGTCTAGTTGCTCTCTTCTCTTCCCACTATACGTCCCCTCCCTGGGCTCTCTCATACTCATAGACTGATGACCTCCAATCAATGTCTCTAGCTCATTTCCCACTCTTGAAACCAGTCCTATATATTCAGCTGCTCACCAGATAGCCCCACATAAACGTTTCAGCTATCTCACTCCCAAAATGGCTCTGCTTTCTGGGTTCCACTCCCCAATGATTGGCAACATCAGTCAATCTGGACCTCAAATCCATACGTTAGTGTGTTTTTTTTTTTTTGTTTTTTTGTTTGTTTGTTTGTTTGTTTTTTGGTCCCAATCTTTCACTCATTCCATACATTTAATCAGTTAAAAGTTGCCCACTCATTTACTTACTCACTCTGTCATGTGTTAAGTGTCTACTTATTACCATGTCATGTGCCAGACCCTAGGGTGCCATGCTGACCTAGTCACAACTCCTACAGAGCTCACAGTCTAATCCATGATACAGAAAACACACACACACACACACACACACACACACTGTTATAAATGTCATGACATCATAGATGCAGGGGGCCCTAGGACCCTGGGAACAGACCTTCTAAAGAAAATGATATCTAAGATGAAATCTAGAAAATGAGTGAGAGTTAAACAAATTAAAATAGGAAGAAAAGAACACTGCCAAATTGTGAAAGAGAATATGACAATGAAAAATGAGTGAAAAGAACTTAAAAAAAATTTTTTTTAACATCTATTTATTTTCAAGAGGCAGAGAGTGAGTGGGGGGAGGGGTGGAGAGAGAGGGAGACACAGAATCAAAGCAGACATCAGTCTCTGAGCTGTCAGTGCACAGCCCGACACAGGGCTTGAACCCACCAACCGTGAGATCATGACCCGAGCTGAAGTCGGACGCCTAACTGACTGAGCCACCCAGGCACCCCTGAATGGAGAGAACTTTAATTCGTCTAGTGATTAGAATAAAAAAGGTTAAATGGTTAGTGACGAGTATAAAGAAGTAGAACCTTAAAAGCCATCCTAAAAGTTTAGGCCAGAAGAGCAACTAGAAGTTCCTGAGGGATTTTAACCAGGTGAATAATAATAAGTGCATTTGAATAGATTTTAAAAAAGGAAAGATTAAGGCATGAAGATGAAATAGAAAGCTCTCGCATTTATCCAGATGACAGCTAAATGTCAACTTCAACTAGGAAAATAGCAACAGGAATAGAGAAAAGTTGCCAGATCAGAGAAATATTTAGAAGGTGGAACAAACAGGATCCAATTATGTTTAGATATGAAAAATAAGGGGAAAAGAGAAGTCAAAGGTGTTTTTCAAGTTTCTCCTTTGAATAACTAGATGATACCATTTAATGAGATTGGAAATAACAAAGGATAAGCAAGCTTGTGGGAAGAGATGATGTGTTGTTTTGAAATACCTGTATGATAGCCAAGTGAAAACATCTGATAGGCAATTGGATCTATTGGTTTGGAGTTAAAAACTGATTGTTGAGAAGGAATCAACCACTTGGGAATCATCAGCATCTGGTCTGTATTTTAAGTCATGGGAACAGATGATCTAGTAAAAGAACCACAGAATGAAACGAGAAGGCTGTCGGAGCCACTCCTCAAGCAATCCTGCAAATACGAATAGGAAAGAACACCCAGAAAAGCAAGGGAAACTTCTGCATAAAATATCATGGAGTCAAAGGAAGAAAGTGTGTCAGGATAAAAAGTGTCAAATACAAGAAAGAGGCCAAATAACATAAGGATTGAGGCATGCCTCTTGGCTTTCACAAGGTTACTAGTGACTTGGAGAGGCGTTTCAGTCAAGCTAAGGAACCAGCAGAGTGAAGGAATACAACTAGTTGGGAAGTAATAGGTTAGAGTGGAAACAAAAAGCGTAGGCAAGTCTTTCCAAAAGTATGACTGAAAGGTAGTGGAAAGACAGCAAAGGGATCCAGAAAGGGATGAGAGATATACAAGTATATTTAAAATTTGGGAGCAACTTATGCCATATTTAAATTCTAATACAACATATCAGGAGAAAGGAAATAATTTATAG